AATGGATTTATGGGGTTGGTGTGTGCTGTGGAGGAATGCCGATGGGCCTTCTGCTGGCCTAGTGCTGGGTGGCAGCGTTGGGGTTGCCGTCTTCCCTCTCTACACTTAACTATAGAACTATATTAGTTAATAATACCTGTAATGCTGAGGACAATATTTTCAAAAAATTATTCATTTCATGTGTGGCTCATGATAAAAATAATTTAATAAATTCTTCCTAAATGTATGCAATAAGTAATATTTACAATAAGTATATCTTTTTTTTCCTTTTTCACTCCTAGGAGGAGTATAGGGCTAGTGCATGATATCTATCATGCCCTAATTTCTATAGTCATAGAGAGTTAGCTAAGTAGGTGACTAGCCTACCGTAGTTTTTATTTATTTTAAATATTTCAGTTTATTAATATTTACTGTTTATTTTTCTTAGTCTTTAGTATCGAATATTATGAATGTTTGAAAATTACTTGTAAAATATTTATTAATATTGCATATTGAATATAATTTTTATAGTTACGTGACCGGGGTTTGAACCCGAGACCCTTCGGTTAAAGGGCCGGTGCCATAACCACTGCACCAATGGTCAGATTACAATAAGTATATAATATGTAAGTAAATAATTTCCAAAACAGAATTTCATTTTTTTTGTTTTAGCTTCGAATGTCACAGATGATTTTTCACTCAAATTATCAAAATAGTATACATGTTATAACAGATTGCCGGCAGTGTAGGATTTGCTTTAACTTACGAACAGCTTTTAAAAACTGTGCGGTCGTTCTTAACAATTTCTCTCGTTATGTCGTTCTCGTTATAATAAAGTGGAAGGAAGTGGTCGGTGTACAAGTGAAACAGTTGTGATGCTTATTAAATTATAAAATAAAAACACAATATTTTTTTTTAAATAATTCTTGTATTATTATTTAGCGATTTCTTAATTTTTTTTTTCTTTTATATTATTTTATTTTTATTATATTAAATATGATAATCTCTCGAACTTTTTTTTTATTTTTTTATTTTTTTTTTTAATTTTTAATCTTTAACAATTGTTTTTTTTTTAAGTTTTTTGTTTGTATAACTATATAATTATTATTTAAAGAGGTCACTACTACATAATTTTAATAGGAATGTGAATTATGTATTTTTTATTTATACAATTTTTATATTTTTATTTTATAATTATATTTAATCATTTTATTAATTATTGTGTGATTCTATTTATTTATATATATTTTTAATTTTAATATTTCCTTGTAAATTTCTTGTAAATTTTGCAAAGGAAATTACAATTTGTATTTTAATTATAATTATTTTAAATTTAAATCTTTAAGATGAGTTCTCTCTCTGGTAACTAATTTTATTATATTAAAATTAATATATTTTATGTACTATGTGTGTATGGTATATAAAGTAAATTTTATATATATATATGAATTAAGCTTGTAAATTCTTAAAGTAAAATTTAAAATAATAAAAATAAAAAAAAAACACATAAATAAACTTAAAAATTTAAGCGAAAATTCAGCTATCTACAAAATTTCTAATATTTAATTTCCTTTTTTAATTTATTTTAAAAGTTTAATTTAAATTTAATTAGTAATATTTTTTTTCTCTTTTTTTTTTTCAATTAATATTAAATTTAATAATAAATTTATTAATAATTATTTTTTTTTTTATATTTTATTTTAATATTTTATATATCACACATTTTTCGAATTAAAAGTGTTTATGAAAAAAAAAAAATTGCTTTAAAATTACAATTGATCATCGCTTTTAAAGATAAAAACATTTAATATATATATATAAGTATTTATGTATGTATGTATATGTACATTTTATTGTGAATATATTGTGATGGTGGTGGTGTTGTTTTACTTATATTACAATAATACGATAATAAATAATAAAATAGCTACATTTATTTTGAAAAGGTATGGCAAGTCTACAATTATGTATTTACTTTATTGTAGTATTGAAAAAAAGGGAGTAATTGTAGAATATTTTTGTAGTTTGATCTCAAATGTAAAATGTAAGAGGTACTATTTTCATATACGACCAAATCTAAGATTAAATCTATAATAAAATCTGAGGACTGTTTGTATGTCAAACTGCAATTATAACAGATTGTCAAAATTTAATATTTGAGCTACGAAAATTATAACAAAAGTAAAAATCAGTTGATCTCTTTCGAACGAAACTTTCACAAAAAATTAATTATTATTAAAATTTAATTATTATTAAAAAATTTTATAGTTAATCTAATGAGAATAGAGTTATTTCTAATGTTTACCGGCAGACAAAGTTTGATGTCAAATAGGGTTTACGTAAACGGCTTTATAATCGTAGATTTTGTCACATATAAAACATTAACCAAGTTTGAAAAATTGAGAGAATGAAAAGTATACATTTGGAGATTGCATTTTCGAACATTGAGAGAAATATTATACTTTTAATTTATATTTGGTACATAAGAGGGCGATCAGTTTGTCCAAATTACTATAAAATTTGGGTTATAAAAGGTCCATTATATTTATATTAGGAATTTCCGTAAAATTTTGAAAGCGTCTTGTTGAAAAAAGTTGAAATGAGGTTAAAAGTTCTTTTAATTTCTGTATTTATTTTTGATTCTGGTAAGTTTTCGGATGCTTAATCTAAAATTGCATTATAACAAACTAGCTCATCTTATTTTAAGAAAATTGATGATTTAATTTTCCAGTGTCTTTTCCATTTAGTCTATGAGGAAAATTTATAATAATGAAAATGTTGTCAAAATATATAAGCCTTATAAGTTTGAGAAATTTTCTTAAAGGCGTTGATTTGTCAATTAAAATGACATAATAGAAAATGATATCCGATTCTCTTATAAATACTTTTTTGAATTTAACCCACTCACGGTCATCTAAAATTTTCTCGGTGAAATTTATTTCAATCACTAAATGTAGAATATCAATTAGAGACGATTTATAACTAATTTGATAATAAATTGTGTCTTATATTTTTATATAAACGAATTGCAATTACGGCGGTGTCTGTTAATGGGTTAAAAAGAATCAATATGAAATAAATATTAATTTTAATTGTGTAATAAAAAAAATTATAATGATTACGAAAATTCATTTTCAAAAGTAAATGCGCTAAGATTTATAATGAAATTTTTTAAAAATTTTTTTTTTTCTCATCTATTAAATTTTGAATTTTACTTTAATTTCTTAATTTTTTTTTTTACATTTTATATTTATTTATATAAACACTCTACAAAGCTGTTCATTTTGATTTTGTAAGTAATAAACAATTTTTATTGATTTTTTTTTCAATTTTTTAATTTCAATGGGTTAAAATGAAATTTTATTCATTTTTTTGCTCTTTCTTATATAAATATAAAATTATATTGCACTAAGATGATAATTTATAATGTATATATATTTTTTTTCAATTTATAATATAAGTATAAGAAATATTAATAAAATTTTTACAACTGAAATAAAAAATATTTTTTTTTTACAATTTTTTCTTTTTTTTTATTATTATGTAAGGTAAATTGGGAAAATATTTACAGAAATTATTATTGCTTTAATATTTATTTTAAATTTTTTTTTTATTATCAATAAAATCTCGTTGTTATTCATAAATTTTTGTACACTTCTATACGATCTCAATAATATTTTAATAATGAATCAAAATTGTAATAATAGAATTTTTATGAAATTCTTATTGTATTTTTAATATTTAAAATTTGCCAGGAAATGAAATTAGAATTGGAATTTTTTTTTGTTATTTTTAAAGAAAATATTAATAATATTTTTTAATAATTTTAAATTATATACAAAAAATATTAAAATCAAAAATTAAATGAGAATTGGGGAGAAAATTTTTTTGAAAATTAATTTACTTTTAAAGTAAATTTATTTTTTGCGTTTCATTTTAATAATATTTTTAATATTAATAAAAATATACATAATAAAATTTATAATAATTAATTTATAACCTTTTCATTGCATACACCATTTCGCTTTTGCATTGCATATTAAAATATCTGTGCCGCACATAAATTACACAATGTGCGTGAAGAACTGAGAGTTAACGAATAATTAAACATTTAAAATTAAAAAAATTAAAACCTACTTTGTTTTTTAAATATAAGCAAAATTTAAAAGTTTTTAGAGCAAACAAATGAATTCGTTCGAATATTTTAGAATTTAAATTTTTAGAAACATTGTTCAAATTTTGAAATTTTGCAAAATTAAAGCCAAATTTTTGGATCCTGATCTTGTCATGATTAACATGAATTATTAAGTATTAATTAAGAATTACATTTGCAGTAATAAACGTTGTTGCGTTACGTTCTAGCGTCGCATTATTGCGCTGAGACATTAATTATGCAATATAGTATTTAGTTTAAGTAATAAGTACGACAGAACACTGTAAATTTGCTGGTTGGTTGTATTGTTGCGTAAAAGCAGAAAATTAAGTATAAATTGCTTAAATTTGTTGTCATGTCATTTGTTGTCATAGCGTTGCGTTAAGACATGAACTGGAGCATTAGAATTAAGGTAAAGGTTGATAAAAATTATGCGTCTCAAAATTATTAAATCACCTATAATACTATTGATTTGATATTATTTTAAGAACTGCCAACATTTCAATAGAGAATGACTTCTATCAGACAAAAAGCGACGCCATAACATTTTTATGATTACGCGTTATTTTACAAAATATTTCGTGTACATAAACGCAATCAAATCAATAATTGTAAACAAGAAACAAATCTCTTTTATGCAATGAAAGGGTTAATATTAAAAATTTTTTATTTATTTATTGTGTAAATTAGTGAATTGAATTTATTATTTTCAATTAATTTCATTCAATTTAAGAGAAAGAGAAAGAAAAACAGAACAGAATAACAAAAATCATTAATATATTTGATTATTGTATCCTTTTTTGTTATCCTTTCCTATAATAATGTTATGAGTTTTGTAAAATTTAACTTGATTAAAATAAACGCGTAAAAATTTTCCGTATATAGTTAGTTGTTTATATGTATGTATAAGAAATATATGAAGTATGTATATGAAAAAAATAAAATAAAAAACAAACAAATAAAATTTATTAAAATTAAGGAATTTGACCGTTCATGCGCATTTCTAATTCTTCTTCTTCTTTGGTCAATGGCACCGTTGAATGATTATATAATCCTTGAGCCATTAATTGTAATGCTAAAGGATTTTTATGTCCAGATGATTTTTTTATTTTAGCCCTTTTATTTTGAAACCAAATTTTTATTTGTGCTTCATTTAAACCCAATTCCGAACTTAATTGTTGTCTCCGACGTTCCGTTAAATATCTATTTTCATTAAATTCGCGCTGTAAATATAAGAATACAAAAAAAAAATATTATTTTCATTAAAATTTAAAAAAAAAACTAAAAAAATTTAATTTTCAAGTGTAAACAACAATTTTATTTTTGTATTTTACTGCAAATTTATTAAGTGTGCACAAAATAAATCAAAAATCTTAAAAGTGAAGGCAATATAAAAATTTCTTTATAGCCGGACAATAGATTCAACAATACGAAAAGGAGGCGAAACGAAATTAAAGAACAAAAATAAAAGAACGAGGAATGTTTAGAAATGAAACAGAACAATGCCAAAATTTAATTTTTTATCAGCTTTTACACTAAATCGAATTCTTAGATTGAATATACTAGACCTTAAAAATCGGTAAATGCGTTTATAAACAAAAATAAGAAAACAAATTCCTACATACATACACATGTACCTGTAAATAATTGGATATGGACATGAAAAGGTCCAAAAAACACAATATCTCCCTCCCAATATTTTAACAAAATAAGTGACAAGCGTATCGAAAGGTAATTTAAACAATAGAAAATGCGACACGAAATGTTTAAATTTGCGGTTAAATGGAAGTATAAACAAAATCAATTTTGACATTTGTTCATTTTATTATTTTGTATTGTGACAGCTCATTACACAGTGCCTTTTCTCTTTTCTCTTGTTCGTGCTCTTTTTTTTCAATTTTTTTTTGCATTATTCTTCTCTGTATTTTTGTTTTTTTGGTTCGAAATCTCATTATGAAAAGGTAAAAATAATTTTAAAGGTAAAAATCAATTTATTTTGTTATTTTTCTGTCATGCCGTTCCTCCGTCTTCTTAAATAAAAATTGATTTTTGAAAAAAAAAAAATTCATTTTTGTTCTTTATGATTTTTTAAATTTTTGACTTTTTTTGTTTTTGTTTCAGAAAATCTTTTCAGAATTTTAAAAATATATGAAATTTTTATATTAGTAGTGTTGTATGCGTTCTCGCCGTTCTTCAGGGGTGTAACAAATTAAGAAATAAAAGAAAATTATAATTTGTTTTCTAAACTGCAGGTGGTTGTCATATGATAAATCTGTAAATATTTTGTATAAATAAGATTTTAAAACTGTGAAAAAAATTTTTATTTTTAATGTTTTTATTGTTGTTGTTGTTTTCGATACACCTTGTTTGTAAATTAATTTATATGTGCCATAAATGTATAAGAAAATCTCATTAAATATATAGAAATGTGCGAATTTTTTCTCAATTAATATGTGAGGTAAAATCTTTGAGAAGGAACAAAAAGGAAAATTATAGTATACAAAAATATTATAGGCCAGGGTATGCAAAAATTAGTTACAGTTATTCTTAAATTGATTAATATTAAAGAATTTTGCAATGTTTTTTTTAAATATTTTTTTCGTTTCTAATCAATGAGAAATTTTTCGTAAGGGTTATTGCGTCCATGTGAACAGTATTTTCTTAGGATTTCTTTAGTATCATTTGCGCTATTGTTTATAGTAAAGATTTCATAAATTTCAAATCTTTGCTCCACTTAAGTAAAGTAGCACAATAACACAATGTTTAAATTTGTCGATAAATTATGTGTTTGTACAGATGCATATTTGATACAGATTTATGGTAATTTAAGACTTTAGGCCCTTGGGTCTTGTTGATACTTTACATATAGGAAAAATCGCAAATATTAAGAGCAAGTTATAAAATATTTTAGTAAAAATCACAAATTGATTGCGTTTATTTTGACTCTGATCGGAAGCAGTGTTGCCAACTCTCTCTTGCTCAATTTACCACCTTTAGTAAAAAAATTCCCATTTTTTCCGTTTTTGTTGTTGTTTTTTCCCAATTTTTCCCCTTATAATTTCCCTTTAAGAAATTTTTTATTTATACCCATAGATCTAGCATTGTACTCAAATAAAATACGTATTCATCATTTTTTGGCTTTTTTCCCTTCAAGACTTGAAAATTCCCTCAAAATGGGAAATTTTACACAATTTGACAACACTGATCGGAAGTGTTTTTTTTGCTTATTCCGTTTTGAAAATTAAACAGAGTTGGATTTGTCTTTAAATAATAGAAATCGTAAAATTTTTTAATTGTTAACTTTAAAGTCAAATAATTTTACAATTTTGTTTTTGTTTTTGAAAAATGTTATTTTAAAAAACAAAATTACCTTTAAACGAGCTAATTGATCACTTGAAAATGCTGTACGAGGTCTTTTATCATCACTTGGAGCTTTTGGATCTTTTGGTTTCTTTGGACGTCTATACCTTGGACCTGAAATAAAAAAAAATAAATACTGTTTAATTAAAATATAATTTGCATTTTAAATTTTTTTTTCATATAAGCTCACAAGTCCATAATGCTGAAAATATTTAAGGGAAGGTGATATAGAACAACAGAATTACATAACATAAATAATAATATAAATTAATTAGAATAACTAAAAAAACAAAATTTTTTTATAAAAATAAATTGCTTAATCGCCAACACTCAATATAATGCATTATGAGCACGAAATCTTGTATCTGATTACAATATGCATGTTTTTTTTTGGGTCTATATTTTATTCTAAAAAAGTATAACGTACATTATTAGAACAATATACACGAAAAGTCTTATGTTAATCAGCAATTATTTGTTATTTTATTTTTTTTAAATATTATGGAAATACTAAAAACGAGAAACTCATTTATAATTTTATAGACCACCAAAGTTAGGTCGTTGTTATCTAGTTCGTCAATCGCTCTATCTATTCCCCGTATTTTGTTTTTATTATTATTATATAAATGGTTGTTCTTATATATTTGTATTTTATAAGATTATTAACATAATATCGCATTTGGTCAAAAAAAAAAATAAAACGGAGAAAAAAATGATCAAATTAAATAGAAAAACCAACGAGAAAAAAAAAAATTTGCCGAAAATTAATTAATTTATAAAAGCGTTTGTTTTTTTTTTCTTTCTTGATTTCTTCTTAATATGTCAAATTTTTTTTGAGCCTATTCTTCATAAACACAAACAAAACAGAACTAACCAACCAACCCAGGTAAAGTAATTTAATACAAAATTATGTTAAAAATTTAAGTTTTCTATATAGGCATAATGTAGAGGAGTACATACAGTCGAAGAACAGGAGTTTTAATAAACAAAAAAAGGAAAAGAAAAGCCAATTTATTACAACATTAAATTCGATTAGCAACGCCTAGCACAGAACGGTTATCCATTATATCAAATTGTTTGTCATCCTAAGTAATGAATTCTGCCAGCAATTATTTAGTCAATTTCTACCCGTTTCACAATGTTTTAAAAATATCCATTTTGAGGTCGGGACTTTTAGTTCAAAATCTTCGAAATTTTTCCACAGAAAATTTTGTAATATTTGGACGGCAGGCTGTAGTTGCCCATTTTAAAATGAAAAACGAAGCTGAACTACTATATAGAGATCTGTGAGAGTACTGCGGGTCTCTTATGGATAAATATACTATCATAAACTCATACCATCATAAACTCTATACTCGTTAGTTAGTTTTATTACTCGTTAAATCTTAGTGGACTCTTGCAATTATTCACAGATTACAAAATTATGGTTTTGACAAATCTTCTTCTTTATGTTTGTTATAATCAATGTTACACTGTCTATTACAAGTATTCATTGGAAAACACGAAGAATCTTATAATAAAACTATTTTAGATTTTAATTCAGAAAACTTTAAAGTTCAACTTCGGCAACTATATACACAGAGAAAAAAAACCACTTATAGACAAAAAAAAAGTCATCAAGGTAAAAGATTTTAATTAATCAGCGAGTAGCACTTCTATAAATGACTATGAATTTATGTATGTAAGTATGTAAGAATATTTAATCAAAATATACCGCCAGGTAAGGAAGACAATAAAAAAAAAAAACAAAGAAATCGAAAAATAAACACAAAAGTGATTTTTTCAATGTGTTCGTTTGTTGTTGTTATTTTGGATTTCTTCTTATATGTTTGTGCTATTCTTTATCATTATTATTGTTGTTGGTTCGTTCTGATTATTTTTTTCTTCTTTCAGTTTATTGTGAATTCCTCTGGCAATTTGCATAAATTTAAAGCGCGTTTAATGGACAGCTTTATTTTATCATATTTATATTATGATAGATACATGTTAATTTTGTTATCGCTTTTGATTTTCTTTTAATATTATTCTCATTTAATTTGAATTAAGCGTGTAAACATTGTACATTGTGTTATACATACAATAAAAATCTACCTACCTACATATTATATGTATGTTCATATGCACATACTATTATAAATATAAATTTATTTCGTATTTTGTGTAGTGTATATCAAGTGTATGATTTATAGAATTTTATTTAAATATATGTATATAAATGAAGTGCTACATACACATACGGGTATACACTTACATGTTGTATATATAATTATGATGTAATACAAAATATTTAAATAAAATTTTAGTGCTGCCGTTTTTTTTTAATCAAAATTATAATATTTGACTATGTCATTTTTCGAATTTTTTAGTACAAAAGTTCGGTCCTTAATATTTGTCTACTTTCATTATATAAATGTACTAGTTAAGACTAATGTCTTCCTGCTTTATGGGAGGACATATATATTCACTACACAAACTAGTACAAAATTATTCAACCTACTCTATTTTGTTATATAAAAAACGCAATTAGTATGAAAATCTTTAAATCTCAATAAGAGTTTAGAAATAATATAAATCGTACAATGCTTGTATAAATAATTACGATCAAACATAATCGAACATGTTTGATTCGTGTCGAACATGTTTGATTCATGTCGAACATGTTTGATTCACGTCGAACATGTCGACCAAGACAAAATTAAAATATTTCCAAATAAATTTTCAAAGCTTAGAAATATTGGAGGTGATAACACTTTTCATAAATAATAATTTCGTATAATTTAAATGTGATTATTTGATTTTATTTTTTCTCCTTCAACAACAATATAACGAAGTGATATTTTATAGTAGCGACAATATACATACATACATGAATAAAGTTTCTAAGTAATTTTCAAAAATTTTACAAGATTTTTAATAATATTTGGAAAAATAAAACAAAAGAAAAACTTTTTTATCTAAATTTTTTAAATGTAAGTGTGTATTTGTGTGTGTGGTTTTTGATTATTTGCTGTTTTTTATACAAAAGGTGGAAGGTGCGCTCTATTTTTTTTTTCGTATCAAAATTTGATATTAAGTCATAAATATAAATTTTAATATGAATTTAAAGCAAAAAAAAAAAATAAAAAATATTATATAGGTATATAATTGGTTATTAAAACACCCATTCCTAAAGGAAATTGGATACTATGATTAACCTTCTTCTCTAATAATCATTTTAAAATTAACTTTATTGAATTTGAAAGAATATTGAAATAAAATAAGTTTTTGATTTGCCGTAAAAAGAAAATGAAATTTTTGAAAAAAAAAAATTACAATAAATAACCGTAATAATATTAAAATAAATTTAGAAAAAAAATTTCGATTTTATTGTGCAAACTACATATGAAATTTCATATAGCTTAGGTATTCCAAAATATTTGTTTAAAGAAAGCCTCACATAATAAAATATAAAATTTGTGTTCAAAATTAAATACGAATGATTTCATAAATATTTGGTTTCGAAAACCGCCCAATTATAAAAAATTTTAAATTTTGTTTTTAGTGCGAATTGTTGTGTTAACAACTGAAATATGGGATCATTATTTTGAAAGGTCTCGAAAGTGAGGAGAGGCTGCGCTTGCATTTTAATTCTTTACACTTTTCAAATTATTTTTTTTAATTATCTTAAAATTTCCAGAATCCTAGACTTTCATTGCTTTTTTTTAAGTATTACAGTTTAAAAATTAAAATTTGTAATTTTTCTAATTTTTTTCCATAAGTTGCAATACAGTGACAAATATATTTATGGCTTGCCGTCGGTATGCATTTGTTTTTTTGGTGTTTCTACATAATTTATAATGCTATCAAAATATTTTATGTTCTGTTCTAACGCATTTGGTAGTTGGCATTCTAGAATAATTGCGTTATGGTGCGTAGTGCATAATTTCAATGTAAAAATAGGTTTAATTTGTTAATAGAGCAACAGTTAACTTGTTCATTAATAAAAAAAAAAGGATTGAGAAAATGGTGCCTTTGTGACGACAGGCAAAGTACATTCCAACGGCAAATTTATTCAACAAAATCTTAAGAACAGAATTAAATACGAACTACTGTTACAGAGTGTGTATAAATGACACTAATGAGGATTGTCACTGTTCACAATTTTTAACTGCATTACGCATTATTGTGGGCGAAACTACATATAGTTAAAAAAGTTTCTTCTATAAAATTTGTATGAAAAATTTCAAACAGTTGAGTCTCTCGGCATGACATTTGTTTACGGCCTTCTTTCGTCTGAAAGCTTTTAATTTAAAATCAGTTGTATACGAGTATAGGCTGTTAGTGTTGTTATTATTAATTACTAAAATATTTTTGGAAATCTTGCCAGTAATGTTGCTTAATATATTATGTACACACATATATGAGCCATAATGCACAATGGTGTTTTTAAAATTTTCAAGACAATAGAACACCATGCTGATTTGAATTTAATGAAATCAATGCTCACCAAATACCATACATTTAATAAAATATTTGCAAGCCATTTTGAACACTTTTATATTATTTTTTTATATAGAAAAATAAAATTATAAATTATAATTAGAGACACTTTTTTTTTTTTTTTAAAATTTCCTAATTTTTAACTTAATTAATCTCGAGACGGACGTCTCCTAAGGTTATACAAAATTTTTATATTTTTCTTATTTAAAATTATTGTGTATTTTGTGAAAGAAAGAAAAAAAAGAAATCATTTCCGTGTTAATTTTTACACTCTTGCATTTTATTATTAATTTTATAATAATAAATTTTCAAAAAAAAATTTAAAAGTTATAATCGAAAAGGTGACTCTTTTATGTCCCACATCACAATAAATTAAAAAAATAGTAGCGATAAAAATGTTATTTTTTTTTAACGTTTTCTATGCCTCAATAAAATTTATTATAATTTTATTTGAATTTTGATTAGATCATTTAAATTTTGTTTTTGAACGGCAATTGGCAATAAAATAAAAATATTCATAATTTTTGTCATGAACAAAAAAAAAAAGAGCCATTTTGAAAAAAAAAAAATTGAAATAATAAAACTTTATTAAATACTTCTGTGATTTATGAATTTTATGAAGTCTTTTGGAATTC